TGTGTGTGTGTGTGTGTGTGTGTGAGTTTGTGAGTGTGTGGGTGTTTGTGTCTGTCTGTGTGAGTGTGTGAGAGTGAGTGAGTGTGTGTGCGCGCGTGTGTGGTGTGTGTAAGATTGTGTGTGTGAATATTTCACTATGCATTGGAGACAAAAGTGTCCCCAGAAATGAGTTAAATCTGACAAAACTTCCATCTGGGGACATTGTTCTTTGTAAAAATGGTACATAAATAAAGCAGGTCTAAATAATCTTTCGTTTTTATTTTGGAGATGCAGAGCTGGGTGTGGATTTGGGTCAGTATTTATTAGCTGTATATAAACTTCAGAAGTCTGTTGCATTCCCTCATTTAGATAAAGTGTCTGTACAAGATAACTGATTTTTGAGTCCATTTTATGTGCCCTCAGAAGTTAAAAATGCTCATAAATTGGCCAAATTGTATTTGTATTTAAACCTTTGCTATTTAAAACTTCACTATTTTAAGATGTCTGATTCCACCGCACTTCAAACTCAGCGTTATACACACTATAGTAAATACTAATATATAACAGTGCTGGGAAGATTATTTACAAACTGCAGTCTGTTACTGATTACAAACTATGATGATAACAGTAGTCAGTAATGTAATCTAGATTACTCATTTAAGTAATGTATTCTGACTACTTTGGGATTACTTTTAGATTACTTTTGACATAACTTGCTTATAGATTTGAATGGGTTATTGTTGTAAAAATAATAATAAAAATAAAAGAGATATTAAATGTTTTCCATTCTTTATCCACATCAGTACATGCACTAAACATTACATTACTTCAGGGTTTCCCAAACTGGGGTAAATGAAAGAACTGAAGGGGGTTTATTTTGATGAAAATGTATTAATTAAATCATAAAAATATCAAATTAAAATGAATAAATTACATTTTTACTTTTTCTTTTACCTTGATGTCAGTGTGACAATTAACTGACTTCAGAGAACTGTGAACATGCAAATGTGTTATTAAATGGTGGAAATATTAACTTTAAATCTCAGGGACTTCAAGTAAATATCTGACTTACAAAATAGTTTGGGAATCAAACAAACATGAATAAACATGTATATTCAAGAAAAAGACATGGTCTTCCAGGTTTTAAATATTTTTGTCAATTATACATCGGCAGTGTTTAATAACTTCATGTAAATTCACAAGCATGGATTTGCATGGCCGTATTGTAGAAGGATTAGGGAGAATCAATAATTTATTGCCATTGGATGAATCATTTATAATCGTATAATCCACAACAAAAAGTAACTGTTATCTGAATATAATCTAATTACAAGTACTACATTTTGTAATCTAATTATGTAATCCAGATTACATGTAATCAGTTACTACCCAGCACTGTATACTACCAGGAAACTATACTTGTAACCACAGCTGGGTTAGATTACTTTCAAATTGCAGTCCATTACTGACTCCAAATTACATGACAAAAATTGTAGTTAGTAACGTAATCCATTACATTACACATTTCAGGTAATATAATCAGAATACTTTTAGATTACTTTTGACCTAACTCGTTTATCACTTTGATTTAGGCAGGATAATCTTGTATCATATTGATATAAAAATACAAAGAGTAAGAAAATATATGCCATTTGTTTTTATCAACAACATGAAGTGCATTACATTATATTATGTCAATGTTTTCAAAACTAGGGTTCGTGAAGGAACTGCAGGGGGATTGTGAGTTCAATTAAAAGCTAATAATTAATGAAACCATAAAAACGGTTATAATAAAAATATTTTATATGTTTACCGGCATGTCATGTGACCATTACCCAACGTCAGAGAACTGTAACATGCAAATGTGATACTTATTAATTACTTATTATTAAAATATTTATTTTAAAATCTCAAGGGTACTTCATATATTAGGTGAAAGAAAGAATTGGTGATTTTGTGCATTTTAATGCGTTTGAAAGACCAACAAAAGGAATACATGGTAAAGTAACCGACTGAGAGATAATTCAAATATAAATGAAGGTGTTTTTCAGTAGTGATGCAATGTTCTCAAACCGGAAATGAACGTCCACAAAACTGACAGACTTTCGGAGTGTATATAAGCGCTAGGCTATTTAAGAAAGGAACATTTAAAAGAGGAATAAATGGGAGTAAATGATTGCTATTGTGTAAATAATATGTAATCCATAAAGTACCTGTAGTCTGATTACGAGTATTTGAAAACGTAATTTAATCAGATTACAAGTACTAAATTTGTATTACATGTAACCAGTTACTCCCAAGCGGCAACCTCCCGCTCTCTCTCCTGAAGCCAACACGGAAGTGACTAAAATTGTAATTCATCGACTGGCCGCTAGAGCTGGCTCCAAAAGGGAGTCAATCCCATAGACTCCCCATGTTAAAACGCCCAACTTTACAGCAGAAAAAAACATGTTTACAGCCTGGTTCAAAAAGTGGTTTTGGTCTATATAGCTAATTTTGCCCTTCATGACAACTGTGAGGGGGGTGCATTTTTTTTATAACTCGTCCGTTGAATTTATATTAAGCCTTAAAGTTCTGCATAATTAAGGGCGTGGCCACTTGAGTGACAGGTGGATTGCCCCGTCGAGCTAGGTGGGCGTGGTTTCAGCAACCTGCTCCCTCCTCTTTGGCCATTTTCGATTATCCGGAAGTGACGCGCGGTGACGTGCTGCCAAGATGGCGACGGCCTGCGCCGCCCACTTTGAGCTTCAAAACTGCTCAGCAGAAACCTACGGTTGACATCACGGACACTACGTCCATGTTTTTATACAGTCTATGATTACTCCTCAGCTCTGCTTGTAACCACACTGACCAACAGCGAATCCTTCGTTAATCTTAACTATGCTTTCAGAAAACAGAGAAATTTTGGAAATGACGCAACTTGCGATCATATGGTTTGCTAAAAAAAGTGTGGTTTCCAGGGCACTGCTATGTTGTTGCTATCTTAGTATACATTTATTGCATTTTATGCCCGTTTTATCGCCTGCCAGATGAAAATTGTGAATCTAGTGGCTTGGAAATAGCACAGCTCTCCTCAACAAGTTCACATATTCAGGGGACTGTCAGACTCCACTGAACAACACAGTGCTTGAATTAAACATTTATTCATGTTGATGAACTGAACGACACAGTTACTCAACTGTACATTATTAAAATTTTCCCATCAGAGAGAGAAACATAGATGCCCTAAAAACCTGACCTCGGTTCCTGCTATTCACCCCTCATTCATACAGATGAAAAATACCAACACTGATATCTCGGTAAAATAGCTCATGCTTTTAAACTAGAATCTCTTTGAATGTCAGGAGCACATTGTTACTGAGGGCAAATATTGGTAATGGTCCCCAAACAATGGACTCCTCATGTAAAGTGCATCATCAGGGATCGAATAAAGGGTCCAGTAGCACCAATCGACTGAAATCTGCCCTGATATTTCTGTGCACCGATTTCCACACAACATACTGAGGACTAATGTAGATTTCAGTTAGCACTCCAGATACAGAAAACACTGTAAAAGGTGGGTCCAGATTAAGTTGTTCTTTATCAGAACGTGTCGTTTCGCTTTTGAAGTAAAGCACTGTCAAAGCTCAGCTGGGCTGCTTTGTCACTTATGGTCCGTCCTGGATCTCTCTCTCTCTCTGGTGGGTTCAGACGTTAAACAGCAAACACGTGATAGATGTCGGATTCTGATTGAGGAGTCTGAGGATGAGCTGCTCACTTCAGGACTTCATCTGTGCTCTTGAACATTAAGATGGCGTTGTGAATCTTCAGCGCTGGTCCTAGCTTGATATTCATGATCTTCACAATATCATTTTGATTCAGAAGGAGGAACGCCTCTCCATCAATCATCTGCAGAGAAAAGCATCGATGAGCTACACAAGATGTGTTCAGCCTTCACTGCTCTAACAAGAAACGAAATGTATCACAAGACCACTCAAAATGCCTGTTTTAACTCTAAATTAATTCATTCATCCAGGAGGGGAGAGGTTCGCTTCACTTAATTTCGTCGTGGCCACAACAGATGAACTCGTGGGATCGTGATATTATGTCATGACCTCGAGATGCTATGTTGAGCAAACGACATGCATTTTTCCAGTTTAATGCGTAAACAAACCTGAGTGACCATCACAACCCGGTATTATCAGAGATGGATTTATTAATATTTTATTTTGAATTAAGAAATTATTATATTTTAGAAATTATTACATAATAGGCATTGGCTACCAGACTGAATTGCGCGCGATGTAGACAGCATTCGAATGAAGTTTATCATGAATAAAATACATAAAATAAAATAGGCTAACAAGAAAACATTTTATTCATCCCACAGTCTTGTAAGTTCATTAACTGATCGTCTTTTCCCTGTAATATTTGTATATTATTATTATACTATTATTATTGGTTATATTTTTATATTCGTTTCCCCCCCTTATTTTGATCTCTTTACTTAACTTTCTGAATACTAAATAATAATGCTGAATAATAGCCTACTGTAAATGCTCGACATGCCAATAAAGCTTTGATTCTCAGATCATTATCTAGTCTTGTGTAAACTTCATTTAGCTAAAACTGTAAATTATACTCCGTTACAATATGGTAGAACCATCACTTCTACCACAAAAGACTGCTTTGTAAGAAATATTCCTGATTTATCCCAATTCCTTAGCATATCCAATAGCTCAGAACAACTTGATGATGTAACAGAAACTATGGACTCTCTCTTTTCTAGCATTTTAGATACGGTTGCTCCTTTACGCCTAAGGAAGATTAAGGAAAACAGTCTGACACTGTGGTATAATGAGCACACTCGCACCCTAAAGAGAGCAGCCCGGAAAATAGAGCGCAGCTGGAGGTAAACAAAACTAGAGGTATTTCGTATTGCTTGGCGGGAAAGTACTCTATCCTACAGAAAATAATTAAAAACTGCTAGATCTGATTACTTTTCGTCTCTTTTAGAAGAAAACAAACATAACCCCAGGTATTTATTCAATACAGTGGCTAAATTAACGAAAAATAAAGCAACAGGTGTTGACATTTCCCAACAGCACAGCAGTAATGACTTTATGAACTACGACTATTATTAATTCGTCTTTGTCATTAGGATATGTCCCCAAAACCTTCAAACGGGCTGTTATTAAGCTTCTCATAAAAAAAAACTCAACTTGACCCCAAAGAACTAGTTAATTACAGACCTATTTTGAATCTTCCTTTTCTGTCCAAGATACTAGAAAAGGTAGTATCCTCACAATTATATTCCTTCTTAGAGAAAAATGGTATCTGTGAGGATTTCCAGTCAGGATTTAGACCGTATCATAGTACTGA